CACACACACACACACACACACACACACACACACACACACACACACATACACACACTTGCACACTCCTGATGAGTCGGTGAAAGTTTGACAAAACGGTCTGGCACGGTCATGCTTTCCTTTGACTCTTTCGAGTGGATAGCGAATACACAGACACACACACACACACACACACACACACACACACACACACACACACACACACGTACATAGGCCACTTTCACCTGTGCACATACGTTCTCTGTTGAGTGTGTAAATGGACTGATGTTTAGCTCAGTCTGTGCAGATCTGATTGTCCGGTGGAACATATTGTCGCAATAACGCTTTCAATCTCAAGGACGATGGTCATTCAGGAAATCAGCTGTGTTCCTGGTCCAGAATGGGACTGTGAGGAGAGCTGGCTTCCAAGCACCACCAGCTGTTCCCAAGTTTTGGCTGTTGATGGACATCCTCATCAGGTTTATGTGTGATTGGTAGATAGTAGAATTGATGTTTGCAGGAAGCGATTTTAATATTTGCCGCCTTTGCTTTGCACCAAGTGTCTTTTCAAATTGTCATGAAGGCTAGGGGTCAACCTGCCAGAACCTTCGCTGTGTGGATCCCCACTTGAGGAGTCCGAGCCGAAAACCTGCGATGATCCAGATGATCTGCACTAAGAAGTGCAAAATCAATACCGGATGCAATGAATTTCTTCTGCTCCCCCAACTCCTTTCCAACGCCGATTTCTGCCACACATCAAGGAAAACCGAGTGGGTGTCGGTGCCACACATCAAGGAAAACCGAGTGGGTGTCGGTGGCACTGGGTGCGAAATCGCAACCGTTTGCCTGGAGCCGCCAGCCTTTTCATTCGGTAGGCCACCCCCGACAGGATGTGGCATGCTAATCGCCACGGCTGGACAAAATAGTTCTGAAGTGAACTGCTGGTTGAAAGTCCTATAGTGAAGTTGCTAATTGAGTTAATGCTTGAAGTTTTGTGAGATTGAACACGCCGAAACAAAATAGCTGTGAAACGTACTGGTGGTGGCTGAACATCCTATGTTGAAACTGACAAGTGAGGTAATGCTCAAAGCACCAGTACCTCCTGAAGTTGTGCCTGTTAACAAGCCACAGTTTTAAGAAACGTACGGGACACTACAGGAGTGCCCAAATTCATCTGACTAGAAATGTTTCTACTTTTTTTTTTTTTGCAGCTGATAGTTGGGCCTAGTTCTGGTGGTTTAAACCATCTGTACCTTTACCCGCTTGCAAAACAAAGTCTCGGCTTGTTTACGGCCGCATGTTTTGGGGCTTGAGGTGCCGGACCGAATTTTTTTGCTGGTTGCGCCAGCCAAACGCAAGCGTGCATCTCTTCGTTTCTTTTCGGTGCACAGGGCGAATTTACGCTCGGCATCAATAGCTGGGCGGGGTAAGGGTGGTTAAAGCTTGTGAGATGGAAGATGCTGATGACAATTTGGCCGGCGGAATATATTCCAATTGTAGGAGAAAAAGGACCTGAACCACCAGTGCTTTTGACCCTTCCCTCGCCGAGCCTTGAAAAGGCTCGAAATGCACTGTGCGTCAGAACAAACACGAACTGGCGCAGGCCTTCTTTTTCGCTGGGCCGCCAGCCATTTTGCTCCAGTAGGCTGACGGACGTGAGACTTGCAGCTGCATGCACGCCACGTCAGATGAAAAAAATGGTTAGGAAACTTACCCGTGGTAAAAACAAATCACCACACCACTGCCAGCGGCCCTGACAAGGATCACTGCAGTGAAAAAAAATTGGCCAATGTGGAAAAGCTTAGCCAATTTTGGTCTAGGAGCAGTGGTGGTTCAAAAAAAAAAAAAAAAAAAAAAAAAAACATGTTACCTGACCATGCTGAGCCTTGTGACGCCCGGTACCATACCAGTTGCCTGCGGAGCTAACCTGCTGAGCCTGAAGAGGCCTGGTACGGTACCAGTTGCTGGCATCCAGTGAGTGGAGAATACAGATCTACTATGATTGCATCTTTGCAAAAACAATGCGACACCATCCTTCCAAGAGTCCAAGGTACTTGTCATACTTTTTTGACTGCAAGAGCCTCCATGACCTCTTGAAGCCACTGTTGTCGTACTGGTCAAACTTTTCTTTTCTTTTGAACCATTTTTTTCTCGATCTATGAATGCTGTCCTCGAAAGCTCCCGCAGGCGAAAAGGAATACAGTAACTGTGGCTGTCGGATCGTCAATCCAACGGATCAGCTTTCAGAAAGGGCATTTTTTTCCAGGGAAGCTGTGAATGTAACTGGTGGCCCTGGTGGGATTAAATAATAAATATCCATCAAAAGGTAGTGGTGGCTTAAACAATGCGGCATTTGGACTTCAAATTGGGCAGTAATGTACACCCAAAGAGTGCCAGTTGAACCGCCACCAGTCCGCATTCCTAGCTATGCTGTTCCTGCGAGGCATAGGATGACGGCGGCAGGCAAAAATTTGCCTTCCAAAGCATGCCCAAAGTACGCCCGAAGTGTGGTGGTTGGTTGAGCCACCCCCACCTGTCCCCGCTGCACTAACAGGGGTTTGGCCTACCGGACGGAAAAGGGATGACGGAAGCAGGCAAAAAGAGGGCATTTGGAACCCGCCCCGGTTCTCTTCTTTCGGGGTGCAGCAGAAATGTGGGTCGGGAAAAAGATGCTCGGATGGTCGGGTGGTTCAGGAGACCTTCCAGATTTTCATAGGAATGCAAAGGTTTTACCGACCCTCTCGAAACCCGGGAGGCCGATGGAAATTCGGAATAGGGCAGCATGCAATTGTTCTAACAGTCCTTCGGGCCATCATTGAAAATTGGAACGATACAGAGAATGAAGATTAGCATGGCCCCTGCACAAGGATGACATGCATAAAAATAAAAATAAAAATAAAAAAAAAGAAAGAAAGAAAGAAAGAATGAAAGTATTCTAACAACTTCTTCAGTTGACTGCGAGTGAATGGTAACCATGCAACAGTTAGGAAATATGTAAGGAGTTGAAATGCGTGAATCCAGCGTGATGAATGAAGCCATGTTAGCTGCATCTGGACAGAAAGTTGCCCTGAACACAGCTATAATGACCGGGCGTTCTATTTGGGTGAAGACAGTAGTTCTTTAAACCACCAGTATGTTTCCCAGCCATTTTGCAGAAACGCTCCGTGCATGCAGGCGCGACGCGCGGGATGTACCAGGGTGCCATGTCACCCGAAGTTCGTCCAT